GCCGTTATTAGTAGTGGTCTAGTATAGCCTCGCCGATATTGGCAGGAAAGTAGAAGAGCTTTGTTCATTGTTGGCCATTCTTCAATACGTGGTGGGGGGAGCAAAAAGAGAAAGGGCTTAAAAAACAAAGAAGAAAAGCAAAAAGAGAGAACAAAAAAAAAATAAGAGAGAGGAAGAAAAGAAGAAAAAGAAAAGGTGCATGTGAACAGCATCCATCCTGCCTTCCTCTCAGCTCATTTCCCACGGTCGAGTCGCGCGTTGACAGGTGGCTTAAAAAAGAAAACATACGGGGGAAAAAAGCAGCGTCGACGCGTCCATTGAGTTTTGCATCCAGCTGCCTGCGAACGTTCAAGCTGCAACGTTGGCCGCGGTATCTGCAGTCTGCAGGCTGGACACTAACATCCATCACTTCCACTCATTCATAGTCTTGGCTTTTGGCGCTTAGGGCCTCCCGAAGGTCTTGACAAATCGACCGAGACCAAGGGATCCATGCCCTTGCCCCTCCGTCTAATGCACGTCTTCCCGCCGATTCCCTGTCCTTCTGTCGTTGTTTATCGATGAGTTATAGTTGGGTGAGCAGGGGTGCTGACTGTTGAGGCGCAGCGCACTCGCAGGCCTGGTGTTTCCGCGTGGGAGCTGATAGTTATGGTGATGTTATACAGAACGTGGAAGGCGGAAATATCCATTCCTCGATGAGGAGAATTAAAGCATCTTTCCTGCTGGAGGGTATGGAGGACATGAGGCACTCGCTAGCCACTGACCCCAGGCTCGCAAACAGCGTCTCGAGAGCCAATGCGTCCACTTCCCGACCCTCCTTCAAGCCCAACAGAGCCTCGCAAAAAGCGAATTGCAACAACCAGGCTATCCAATACTCATCATCTGATCCATTCATCTTGCGTCCCTCCCCTCCATATTCATCCCCTGAAGGACAAAAGCAACGCCGCAAAAGAAGAAAATGCCTCGTAGGAAGCAAGCGAACAATGAAAGCCTCCTGGCCGTTCTCCCCAGGGAAAGTCAAGCACGGATTCCTCTCTATCTTACGGGCTATCTGGGACTCGTACTGTATAAACCACCACTCATATCATGCGCTCCTTCAGGCGACGCCTCCCGTCGCCGAGAATTTCTCTGCATCTGTATTGTTGCGCTCGGATCCTACCCTCCACTTCCATTCACCTGTCCACTAGCGAGATCCTTTTGTTCTTTCTTCTTCGAACTCTGTTTGTTTGCTTGCTGTGGGTGCGCGGTTGGCGCCGCAGATCTAGTGAGCGAGGGAGGGAGGGTAAGCCCGTAACTCCCCTCCTGCCTAATTAGGGTATGGTATTATGTAGTAGGAGCTGAGACGGCGAGTGAGATGGACTCAACTTAGACGCCCTGTCATCATTCATGCAAGGAGCTGAGCCGTTTACTTTACCTTCCCTCACTCCCTCGGGCTTTACTATACATGTAGGATGTGAGCGAGAGTGAGTGAGCGAGTGAGAGGAAATTAGTGGGTAATAAATGGCAATGCGCATACCTGCCCAATCCAAGGGCAGGGAGGATTCTTTATCTCCATTCGGTAGATAGTACTGATTGCTTGACCTATCTAGGTAGGACGTAGGAGGCAAGGCAGGTAGTACAGGCCTACAGGCTGGGCCTGCGCTGATGACAGAACAAAGGAAGGGAGAGCGAAGGGGGATGATAGAGTAAGGAGGGCATACGAATGAATGGTCATGGGGACTCGGACGGGCCTGTGTCGTACTGTGTAACCGTGATTGTGGCTACTGGAATGGTGGATAATCTACGACGGGCGGTTATTGGAAGGTGAAGATGCTGTTCAATTTCCGCTGCTGCTGCTGCTACTGCTACTGTTGGCGTGGAGAGGAGTGGAAGAGTGCAGGCAGTGGTCATGGTCATGTTCATGGGGGGCTTTATACCAGCTGCACTTGGACTAACTGGGGATGCAAGCTTGATTCAGGGTCCTTTGTCATGGACCTGAATTGACCCATGGATTATGGAACCTTGAACCACCCCTTGCCATGTCGAACCTGGGGAGTGTTTGTAGATGCAGTTGCCCAGGTGGGAAGTAATTATGGGCATGATGCTTGATTGCTTTGCGCTAATATTGACCCTTCCAAAATAGCAAACATACATATACACATCCACGTTCTCTTGATTGCCATGTCATAAGTCATAGGCCACTACGCTGGCCTTGCACCCTCGGTTTTGGGTACCGAATTCTTCGGCGCAGACTTCGACTCACCCGGTCCCTCAATTGCAAGAGGAGACTCGTCGCCGTCATCCTCGTCATCGCTGGAAAAGTCATCTACCGGGCGGCCGCGTCGGCGGTCTTCTTCTCGTTGACGCCGGCGCTCTCGAGTGTATTCTCGATATCTAGCATCTGGGGTTTTTTTTTATTAGTAATTACTAGTAGAAGTTGAGGGTGCACTGCTTTGCATACCTCGAATTTCTTGCGTCTTGACAGCGTAAGTCTGAATTTCCTCCTTTGACAGCACCCGCAACACAATGACGTAGTCAGATCGTTCTTCAAATCGCTCTTGGCCTTCTTCTAATGCAGCTGGATTTACAAGGCGACGGTCAATCTTGGTCCAGCGAGCCCCAGGGGGTATCCCCTTCTTATGGGCGTCCTTCAATGGCGCGACGCCTTCTCGTACAGGGTTCGGTTCCTCTGGAAATTTGTCGCGTGGTGGTTTCAGAATCCCCTTGGGTGGCGCGTCAGATTCCTTGGTTTGAGCGAGCTCGAGCTTCTGTTCTGACTTTGTATCAGAATGCAGTCGATCGTGGCGGCGGGAGCGGGAATGGTGACGGCGCAGATGGTCGTTCTCTTTCGAGCTGTCGGAGTCGTCTATTTTTGGACGCACGGATGGCTCTCGTCTGTACTTCTCTAGGTCGTCCTCTGATGTATATGCGTCGGAGTCACTCTCCATGCGCCGCCTGGAATGTCTTCTAGGCCGGGTGTGCTCACGATTTGATCGACCTCGCGACCGATTGCGATCAGAACGGGAAGCAAGGTTATAATCGACATCATCCGAGTACCCACTAGCGAGAACAGCTGTTCCAAGACCGCTGCTGGATACTGAAGGAGCGGATAACTTGTTGGAGGACTTGGTCGGTCCATGGCTGTCATGATCTCGGCTGCGCGTATCGCGGTCAGGGCGCTTATGTTCCCGACGGACGAGATGGGTGTCATCGTAGTCATCTCTATGCGAAGAATATCCCTCATCATTATCTTGATGTAGGGTGACTGTGCGTGACGACGGCCGGTGCCGTGCACCTGACAGTTCGAGCTCACTGTTACCAAAGCCATATGTTGACCGGCGCAGTTCGTCCCGGGTCAACTTTGAGAACCCTCGATGCGATGGAGGGGGCCCCAGAGCTCGCGGTTCTTTCCGTGCTGTTAGGTGTGCATCATCAATCCCCGTTAAGCTCAAAGGTCGCTCTTTTCTTGCATTTCGGTGATATTGTAACTTAGCGGCAGCTTCTTTTTCAAATTGCTCGCGCGGGTTGGTGTAGGAGTAGGCATCATAGTCGTCAATATCCTCGCCCTTACGGAGGCCCCCGTTCTGGGGGTACCGCCGTCGACTACCATGCTCATACACCGGGTATGCGCCATAGGGCGTACGAGAAGTTGGGTGTCGCCCGGTATCACTAGCGTAGTCGAAAGATGAGGAATGACGGTGGCGCCTATGCCCCTTGGACGATGATGGCATAAGGTAGCCATCTTGGTCTGTAAGAGGACTCGGGGAGCGACCATAGTCGGAAAATATGACAGGCGAATGCCTAGAGATTGGGGAGGCAGAGGGTACATCGAGCATGCCCCGAGGATCTGCAGCAGATGTTGTACTGCTTCGTTGCCTGGGTCGGATGGCATATTCGGTTCTCAACTTTGAGGGTTTTCCATGACCCCGATAAGCTTGTTGGGAAACTGCATGCGCTTCTAATCGTGGAGGGACATTATATCGGGGATCGTACGAGGGCAAGTAGGGGACGTCAGAGCGATAACCTGCATACATTGGGTGGCCTGCGGAGGAGTCATGGGGATCGTAGGAGGAACTGAGTGGGACTGTGCCGGTCGAAGCTCTCATGGGATCGTTTAAGTGCGAGCTACCTGGCGACATGGGCCGGTAACGCGCAGCGGAGCCCATTCTCGAGCTTTGCGGGTAAGGGACTGCAGCGGATTGATATCCTATCGACATGGACTGGATATTTTGAGGACGGCTAGTCGGATGCCTAGGGACGAGGGCGAAAGAATTGCGCCTTGAGAGTTTTTATACTTGAAATGGTGAAAGAAGCTTTGGAACTCCACGAATTATTGGAGGAGTTGAAAAAGTAATAACGAGGGTAGTGCAGGGTTTGGTTAAAAAAGCAGTGAGGTCGCAGCCACCAGATGTGGGGATCTGAAGAGCGGGTCGACGTCTGCACCTGAGACAACAACCGTTAATGCGGATTCGAGAAAAGCAATAGAAGGCGGGGAGCTGTTTCAACGGGTCCAATGAGGCGATGGATAATGGTTAGAGCCGGCGCAAGAAGAGGATGAAGACGATGACGCTGGTGAATGATGGCCTGAGGAGGCGAGCGGGCGGCGGTGACGAGTGACGACAGCCCGACGACTCCAACGGTCCAACTGGGCCGACAAAAGGACGAAGAGGGGCGAATCAGATCGTGGGCGGACTCGGGTGTTCCGGCCTGACAAGTTGACAACACGGGATCTGGATTTCAAAGCAACTTGACTGTTGCGGACTCGACACAAACATCAGGAACCAAGTACTCCAGGAGATATTGGATCAAAACACATGAACCGTGGGCGAGCGCGGGTGATGACCCTGGATCACGTTGTTCTCCTCCCGCCCTGTTCCTTTCCCAAGTCCCCTCCCGAACTCCATGGAGTCTCTGATCGTCAACTCAATTGCATCCCTCTCTCGAGTGGTTTTTTGCCGCACGCCCGACCCAAACTAAAGCCCCAGCTTCAACCACTCGGATCATTATCCTTGGCATTCTGGAGATCATGGGGTTATCGCTCGCCTCACTTGGTCGCCACCCTTCGTTCCACCCTTCGTTCCACCGACTTCTCCGCTTCCCAGCGGGCCAATCTTGCGCTGCTCAGCGCCAAATTCGCGCGTCATATCCTCACATGCGTCCCCGTTTGAGGATGCGAAGGCGGTGGATCGGAGGTCTGCGTTGAAGGGATGCGGCTCAAAATAAGGGTACGAACCGTGCAATGCAGGCTTTCAATAGCCGACACGAGTCAAACGTACCTTTTTCGTCGAATATTGTCGCAGTCCCCGGTCCTGTTGATCGACAGAGTATGGAAGGCATCGTGCTCTATCGGAGAACCCCGGCCTTCAAAACGCTTTCCAAACTTCTCGCCCTTTAGTGCGACATAAGGACGCAGGGCGTGTCTACTTTACCCTTTCAGCCTCGGGGTTCCACTTTGGGACACGTTGCGACGACCTGTACCTATGACCCGGGAAAGCATCGAGTTTCCTGACCTCATTTGTCTTGGCGCTTCGAGGAAGGTCCCATGAGAGGAGTATAGACTTCTTGGAAAGCATACTTTCATCACCATTCTCAAGGACAGGAATGTCGGGCCCAGCGTTTCGGTCCGCTCGATGTGCTCTCGGAATATAGCTTCTCGCTTTGCAGCCCCTGAAGCCAGCCCTGTTCATGCTGCAACGCCCCGCTAGTTCCAACTGCAGGGACCAAGTTAACTGCACAAAACTAGAACTTCCCCCAATGCGTTCGCATTGCTGTGAGAACGCTTGGGGGCTAGACTTTTGTCACTGGACCTGGTTCCAACGCTTCACTTTGTCTGATGGTCGCAAAGTGGGCCACTCTGACTTCTGTTGAATTGTTATATCCGCCGGCGTTGGCCTACTTATGGGGTCAATCCGCAGCTCGGGCGAACGCAAGGTATATGGCGTTTGAGGCATTTTTCGAGAGCTCTGCTGTTTCCGGTAAGTCGTTCAGGCACCAGCTTCTCCGCTGGTCTTGTTTGCTCCGTCCGGTGGCCCTCTGCATCTGCCTGAGTTTCTGGGAGTGACGTCTTCCTGCCTTCAGACCATCAAGGACAATACAATGCCAACACTCAACGTGTCAAGGGGTAACTGCTTGACGGGCCCTTTTGCCCTCACCCTGTCAAACGGGGTTGCCGATGGTTCCGCTTTGGGTCTTGAAACTGAAATACTCTCAACAATGAGGGGCACTGGGTTCATCAAACTGGCAGCTAAGCCACATCTTGCCTTCCCTGCAATGTTCTGAGAGGCGCAAGAGCTTGAACCTGTTAGCCATACGCCTTACACGCTTCATCCGTATCACCTTCTGGAAAGACAATTGCGTTGCTTGCTGAGCCCTCGAAGCGGTTAACTACCACGCCTTTATTTTGCCCAAGATGCAGGTGGGCAATTCGCCTCTTGCCCGCGGATAGCTTCACTTTTATATGAAGGATGCTCCTGGTTATAAATCTGGCCTTTCCCTGGATTCCATGATACTTCTAGTTCAGACAAAAAAAGTTTATTAGTATCAATACAATCTTAACTTCCACGATTTTCCATCAAAACTATCCCACCAACCGATTTTCTTTTACTCCGTCTTCAACATGTGTATGAACACTGCATGGACCAGATACCCCCCGTCAGCTCTCAACTCCTCTCAGTACACCAGGCATAACATGGACCGGTGGTGGATATGCTGTTCATGTGGGAACCAGAACAACCCGGCCCTGACTTCAGATTATTGCAGTTCCTGTAACCACGAGAGGTGTCCTGATTGCAGACCATTTCGTTGAAAATGTCGCGACTGCAAGGAAGGGAGGGAATGGCTCGATGATGGCCCCTACCTTTGACACACTGTTTTGTTTCGACGATGGCACGCTGCCCCCGAGCCCCAATTCCATCTTTGCCGGGCTCTGCTGCCTCAGTTGCCGTCATATTTTATTTCGCCTTCTCCGTTTTCGGCTCTTTTGCTACTCACGCTCGCGTCTACCTTCTCGCCCGTCTTTATTTTCTGCTCGAAATGCTCTTTTTCTTACCACCTCATGTCTCGGGTCTGTTTTATATAGACTTTCCCGATTTTTTGCTGAGGCTTCTGCATAGCGCTGGCGCTCACCTTGTTTTATCTTGTTCTTTTTTTGCTTGCGATACCCCATGCGATGCGAAGTCTTGTTTTGATGTCCTTTTTTGGCCTGCTTATTGTTTTCCTTCCCCACATTGCTAGTTGTCTAGATTTCGGTGTTTTTGCTTTTCGGGATACGAGTGCTGTTTCCTGCATTGTTGGACGGGGTTGACATACAGGGCATAGTGCATTGGCATATAGATCGGCATTGGATATTATCTCCGAATATGTGCATAGATGGGCCATATTCTCACAATGAAACATCATCAAATAATCAACCCCATCATTCCAAAGAAAACGAAGAACAAAGAATGCATTCGTAGCAAGGCACCCTCAGCCATCAACAACACTCCAAACATGACGCGGAAAGAACCTTCCAAAAACCCCTCGGTGGAGAAAAAGAGGGCAAGAAGTGTTCATCCATCACCCGCCCAGAACCTTAAGTAGAACGTCGAACTACGTCGAAGTGAGGCTAACAAGGAGGCTAAGTAGGCTAAGTAGGCTAAGCTGCGTCTGACTGCGCCAAGGTCAGGACAGGTCAGGAGCCAGGACACGGTTTTAATTCTCCTTTTCCCGTTTCGTTGGGTATTATTATTTTATGCGGGCTAAGATGCGGATAAATGTCTCCAGGAATGTTGGGGCTCGATTAAATTCCTCTCCATTCCCTAGATCCTCCTTGCGTTAGCTTCAAGCCAAGAGTTACTTGTACTCGTCGTGGTAATAGGGCTAAACACCTTGCTCAGCCACACTATACAGGCGCAGCTCTTGGGTGAATATTCGAATGTCTTACATCATCCCCGTGATACTCCCTCCCAACTTGTAGTACACCGAGGTAGATAATCGGTGTCGGAGTCTGGTGCGATTGGATAGGTTTCGCCCCGAAACTCTCAAAGGACTGACATTGACAGTTCAAGGTGCTCACTGCTGACTTCGTTAGCGGGGAGAGGTGAGGCCGAGGGGGGCTTGGAAAAGGGTGTTGTGACTGTGGCTGAGTCGGTCTAGACTGGTACGGAGCTGCTGAGCTTGATGAGGGAGTTTATTGGTCCAGAGTTTGATTGCGCATAGGAGGAGAGGGGAGAGCTTAAGGCGTCCAAATGTCAGGCGTGAGTTGGTGGATACCCAAGGCATACCGGCACTCGGATACCTATCCAAGCTCGTATTCCAGGCAGGAAGGGCGCTACGAAAAGAAATCGAGGCAGATTGGGCTCTAGATAGATGACGATCGCATTTTCTTCGAAATGACGTTGGTGTTTAAAGAGCTGGCATATATCGATGGGTAATATAAGGCCCGGGGTGGTAGCTGGTTACCTCTTTGGGTAAATTGCTCGGTCCCTGTAGGTTCAGCCTGGTCGACCCATCCAGCCGGGTGCAGCCACCTCAGCTGGTACTATAACTGGGCTAGTGACTAATCCAACGGTTGAATAAACCGACTTGTGCATGAAAACATCTCCTTGCTTGAGTTTTTAAAAGGGCTGTGCGTTAGGAGGACCAGCGGATGGGTACACTTACTACCTCGGTAGTCCGACATTGCGTGTATTTGGTGCTGTAACAGACATCACGAGTTGATGTCTTATTGCGATGGATTTGTTTCGAGTGATTATGGATATGCAGAAGACCATCTCCTACACCTACCAACCAGCGATGGCACAGAGACCTCGTGATATGTCACTGTAGGACACAGACAAAGCTGTTTCTCGTTAACGATGCCAAAAATATAACAATGTTATGCATACTGCAAGTGGTTTCTAGATTGCACAGACGGCGGTTACATCAATAAACCATCCTATGACCCTTGAGGTATATCGCAGAATAAGCCCAACATTCCGGCGCTGACATGAGCTTACCAACAGCTATCCTCCTGGCAGTAGATGATCGCCCGTAATGCAGCCATCCGCTGTCAGTCGCGATGCCGACGGACCGCACGGTGCACGGCTCTATATGTGGCTCTTGGGAGCAGATCATCCAACATAATCATCGAGTCTCCTTGCGCATGCGCTGATCCTGACGGCAGGGCGGGACCCAATCTTGGATACGTGCGTTTGTGTGGCAGTGGTCCGTGTGCTGAGCCGACGAACGAGAGCGAGACCGGGGATAAAAGCCGTTGGAATCTGACAGGGCCGTGGCATTTACAGGACCTTGGTATAGGGCTATGTTGGTTGCTTGGTTCCCCGTGTTGGAATTAGATAAGTGGCACTGTCCTGTGCTGCAATAATGCAATTTCTGTTAAATTGGATGCTGGTCCTGCCGACGCGAGGTAAACTGAGACATTGTCCGATGATGAACGGTCCGACAATGGGCCCTTGCGTTGCGGTGGTGCAGCACAAGACCGGGCAGGGCTGAGTCGTGGTCCTATGAATGGGATTGCATGTTCGACTTCGGCACTGCATTGTTGTTAGTACAACGTACTCGCTGAAATGGATACATTTTAGGAATGTAGCACGGCCCCAATGAATTTTTTTTTTTTTTTTTTTTCAGATTCAAGAGATATACGGAGTAGATAGATGGTGTTGATGTGGTGTCCTAAATTTAGAGACTCGTGTTGTGCGACAGACAACTATAGAAGCTGTCTAGAATACGAAGCTGAACACGGAGTACCGAAATGTACGAGGGCATACGAAATCTAGATCGAGATTAAAGATAGATCAAGACATTGATAGTAAGTATAATGAAGCACTGCTTGAGTGAGTCTACAAGTGAGAGAAATGGATCAACGACCCTTTACCCAATCAGGCAACATTCCAGGTAGATCGCAACCAGGTTGTTCTCCCCGCAGAAACAGAGACACAGCCTGGATAGCTTCATCCCGACACACCGGTCTCTCCAACTCGCAAAAAAAAAGAAGAAAAAAGAACCAGCAGTTGCGAATTTTCAACCCCAGGAAAATCGGTAACAAGTCCATTTTCCAAAACAGAGCAGAATCCCGATGACACCAACACAGCCCCTCAGCAAGTCAAGACAAGACAAGAATGAGTCAATGCATGACAGCAGCTCTGTGTCATTCGTGCGAAAACAGCGTCCAATTCGTCGCAGAGGAAGATCCAGATCCAGATCCAGGATGGGAAAGCGATTCGGAATGAAAAAAAATAATAATAATAATAATAATAATAATAATAATAATATGGAATGCATGATGGCATTCTGAATGTCGGAGCTGAGGCCCTGAAGCAGGGTCGGATTCAAGGTTTGAACGCCGAAACACCGCTCTTTCACTATACGTCCGGGGCCAAATGTACTGGGAAGCGGCGGTGTTCAACCGAAAGAAGGGCGGCCCCAAAGGCTGGCGGCCCCTCCAGAGACCGACTGGCCTCGACGGTCATCGTGGGTCCTGCACCGCTGAAAATCAACGGCTACGACCCCAAGGCCGAGAGGCGGAAGCTGAGCCTGTGCTATTTGCAGGTTTGGAGGCCGGACTTGGAGGAGGCTGTTGATGAGAAGTTGAGAACCCACAGAAACCCGGCCTGAGGCACTGGCACCGGCAGGGGTCGCTGCATCCACTCCACTGGACTTGGTTAGTCAAGACTTGCGGCTGAAGTGGAGGGACCACGGTTCGTGTCAAGTTGCCAGCTGCCAGTTGTCTATTTCGGCGGTTTCAACAGTCGCGTTTCAATAATATTGTCGAAAGCGATGTTGCAGATTATTTTCTCATCTGCTTTCTGTTGGATGTTATTCGTGCATTCGTCTCTAAGTGATGACGGATCTACGTACGGCCCCCCCTTCCTGTCTAGATGCTCCATTTTTCGGATAAAAATAGTTGATTATGATTTGAAGATCCCGAAAGCTTTCAAAGAACAACAGAAAAGAAATTATCTGCGAGTGAAAAAAAGAAAAAAAAAAAAAGTAGCTCCCAAGAAACGCCGCCAACCATCCCTCAGTAATAATGATAATGCAGCAAAAAAAGACTTGCAGGTCATAACAGCGAAATCATAGTGAGCCCGCCCACCGCGCTGGGAAGGGGGGGGGAAAGACAAAAACAAAGACAAGTATATAACCCAGTATATATGTATAACCCCAAATCAAGATGCGAAATGCCTCTGTCGCCGTCTAAGGAAGCGCCCCAGAAAAGAAATGCCGTGTTCCACTGTGAATTATACATGCGCTGATGTTGCTCCAATATCCAAGAACCGATCGTCAATCAAGTTTGCGTAGGCAGGTCGTAACATGCGCTATGAGACAGGTGAGTATTGGCTCCTCAGAGATACCAGCGTTATTGAGACACTCACTTTGATTATGTGGCTTTGTCACTCACTTGACAAGTTGACATTCGTCGCAGGCAACATGGTGGCATATAACGCAAACGGGGTTGTTTCCCCACACTTTTGGACCATCGCGGCATTGGCAGCACACGTACATTGCCACGTTGCTGTAGTAATTTGGTCGTTGGAGATGGCCGTGTCTGTGGCCACTGAGTAATTGTTGAGAGTGGGAAAGGTGTTCAATAGGCGACGAGTCCATAGCGCACGAGCTAGGAAGAGGCTGGTAGGTCTCGAGGGCTTGCGAGGGATAGCAAGGTGAGGGCATGGTTGAATGATACTTGAGAGTTGATATTAAGATTTGACTCGGGGAGGCAGACAGCTTTCTGGTAGAGGGAGTCTTGTTGTATAACAAACGGGTCACGACTGGTGTGGATGTATAGATGTGAGTTGAATGAAGATGAGAATGATGAGAACTGAAGGGGGGAGCACGGCATTTAAAAACTTCAGAGTATACGGAGAAGGAGCTATGATTCACTGAACAGCTCCAGGCAGATTTCCAGGCCACTACAAGCCCTGGGCTATGGCAGAGCCACAATGCTGTCGGGTGGGTTTTACCAGGCATCGCCCTGACAGCATCGATCTATAGTCTGGATCGCTGAGAAGCCTGATGCGCCTCAGGGCTTCTGCACGCTTGACTCAATTGAGAATTGACTTCCAATTCTTCAAACTAATTCCTCTAACAGTCGTGCATTTTGAGTCAGATTTCGAAGGAGGGGGCCACTCCCCTTCGAGGCAGAACGAGGCTTTGTCGAGAGTCCGGGCAGTACGCCCGCTTTGCCCGGTGTGGAATGGCTCCGCTTCTCTGGGTCTGGGGGCTTTGAGCTGAGAACATTTGTTTCAAGAGTACTCTGCACCGTGTCACAGTGAGAAATCATTCAGCAGGAGTTATTTCGATGTGCTTTCTGGTGTTTGTACATTGTTTTGCGCGTGTTGCGGGTGGCCTTCCTGGGGCCATGTTGCCTAAGGAGCGCAGCCTGGTGAACCTTGGATCCTAGGCACCGTCCTCGACGACATTGCTCTGGCTCCACTTCGGTCATCGGTTTGCCCTGCGTTGCTGAAGGCCGAGCCCGCGGAGAAGGAGTCTTTAATCTGAATTGCTCTGATTTGCGATTTTGCTGAATTCCTCTAGCTGCTGCGTTTTTTCCCGGGCGTGCTGATTCGAAAAAGGTGCCTGCATTCCAAGTCACCTGCTCAGCAGGCACCACTCTTGCTGCCTGGGCCATCTGCTCGAAATCAAGATGGAAAATTACCTGAAAAAAATCGTTAGGGCTCTTTTTTTCCTTTTTACAATTTTTTTTTATTCTATCTTGCAGATTGTTACATGAAAGGCGGTGTCCGCGATCACCATTGCAGCATTGTTGGCCCTAGGACTGCAGGTGCTTGGTTCCCAACTACCAACATCTCGGAACGCTGCAGTGGCCTGTTCGTTCACCTTATTGCGCCCGCGTCTACGTAATTCAACCACCTCCTCAGAGCCTTTGACAATAACCGACGCCCTTATTACTCTATTGCCCGGGCTCTGCGCTTGTCGCTTCACTTCCAGCACAAGCCCCCTTCGGCTCTATCCAAGTCTGCGGAACGCCCGCGCCCTTACGCCCAAGTTCGCCCTGTCACCTTGCGGGCTGCTCGCGAACCCCGTGATGCTGTTTCTTCCGTTGCTCGTGGTTTACCCGGGTTGAAAGAATTTAACGGATTGTAACGGATTGAAAGGCAGAAACATTCGTGCCTATTTCCGAAGTAGACAGCGTAGCCAGTTGAAGTGAACGGGGAAGACATCATGGAGGAGGGCGGAATCTGGGCTCGGGAGAGGTACTCGACTCCACACGGGGAGGCCCGAGTCCCGTTTTCCAGGCATCGCGGTTTCTCGCAATCCCTTGATCAGGAGATCCGCATTCGGTGACAGCATCGTCATGGTCTATCTTGGAGCTGCCGTGGTTCCCAGGCTGCGACGTTGAGACATTCGACTGCCCCCATTGACTCTGTCTCTGGGGAAAGCAAGGAGCAGCCGTTGGAACTGACGGGAGAACCTTTGGTGGACCACAAATGCCGCTTATCGTTATCATCACGTGCAGGTTTGCACTGTTTGCCTTGTGTCACGTTGCAATTATCGCAAGAATGCGACTTCGACGTCAGCGACAATCCTTGCCTCACATTGACTCCTTTACTTCCTCTGTAAATAAGCCCTATTGCAAATCAACTATGCATGCGTATGGAGTTTTATGATACGGTTTTTCGTCTTTTATGATCCCTCTCCGCGGAGTCACTTCCTCCCTCGGCCTCCGCCAGTCAACGTGAAATGGCCAGGCAACCGGACCCGCGCATTACTCTCGCCGTTGCCCGAGTCATTCCGGTGGTCCTTTTCGGCGTCATCATATATGCTTGCTACGCGGTTACTAAGCCACTGTGCAGTGAGTTTCTTTTTGTTGTTTCTGCTGAACATACTTTGCTAACTCCTGACAGTTGACTATTTGATTCATCCGCTCCCGAAGTATGACCGCCCAAGCCGCGTTGGCGCTGGCGCGGCGATAATCGCAGTATTCTATGTCCTGTTGTTAATCCTCTTAATCACCTACTTCCGATTATTGTACAGCGTGGTGTGGAACCCAGATCTCCTACCTCGACCCTCAGATCTAGAGAAAGAACCTGCCCATGCATCATCTCGGCATTCGCAGGACCGTCCTCGGAGGAAGAGAAAATCGCATCGGAAATCGAAACCGACCGAAATATCGGATAAGCCCGAGGAAGATGTTGAAAGAGCGCTCGATTATAATGCGGGGCCGATGATGCTCCCGTGGGACACAGCTGGGTTGGAGAGCTTTTATAAGAAAGACGTCTTTGTGTGCCAGCCAGATGGGAGGCCCAGGTACTGCTCGAAATGCTGCCATTATAAACCCGATAGAACACACCATTGTCGAGAGGTGGACCATTGTGTTCAGAAGATGGACCATTTTTGTCCCTGGTGAGTTTCCGAAAAGTCTTTCGTTCCCGGCGTGTCTGACAAGCTTCAAGGGTTGGAGGCGTGGTGTCGGAGACCTCGTTCAAGTTCTTCATCCAGTTCGTTTTTTATACAGCAGTATTTTGCTCCTTTATCATGATAGTATGTGCGATTTTCACCGCAGAGTTGAAAAAGGATGTGGGTTACTATCCTCTTCTTTACTTTAAATGAACCCGGGCTGACCCCTTTGAAGACCGGCGATGTCAACCCCCATTGGGTTATCGGCATTGGATTGTAAGTAAATCCAGATTATTTCATCGTATCGTTATTGCAGCTTGGTACTAACTGTCCACAGGAGCGGCTTCTTTGGCTTATTTACTTTTGGAATGACTATGAGTTCTATGCAATTGGCTGCCTCCAATCTCACAACAATCGAGAACCTCAACCGGCGCTCCGCAGTATGGACCTTGGCTATCCGGGTACCGAACCATGTGCTCTCATCACGATGGGCTCCAACTTTTCACACTATAACCTACCCACTACCGCCCATGCCTCCTCCACCGCCCCCTATGCCTATGCAGCCTTACCCTGGAGCTAGAAACAGCTACCAACCTCCTCCACAGCCTCCCATGCCGCCTCACCCCGGAATTGGAAGCGGTACTCAACCTCCCATGTCAACTTACCCCGGGGCTGGAGGCGGCTACCCGCCTCAGCCCTCACAACCTCCAACAGGCGCTGAGCAGCACGTCTTCGCCATCCTCCAAACCCTGCCCGGGGAGAATCCCTTCGATCTCGACAACCCCCTCAAGAACCTCCAACAAGTGCTCGGTTACTCCATCGATGACTGGCTTCTCCCTCTGAAGCGCAGCCCATGCACAGACCACAGCAGTTTAGAAAGCGAATTCGCTATGGGGCCCGTAGTGTCCCGACTGAGGAGGGAGGCTGGACTGGAACTTGCGCCTGCTGCGGAAGTTCATGATAGTAATAATAATAATAATGAGCCAGCACCAACAGATGGCCACCCAAAACACAAACGAAGACGAGGAAAGCACCACCATCATCATCATCAGCATAAACGACCGGAATGACCGCTTCATCTAGCCTTTATTGGTTCATAGACCTTTCAGAACTCCTTTTTTTGTATATTTATTTAATCATTATTGCTGGACGGCCGTCTTTATGGATAGAGTGTTGGTATTGATAATGCGATGCCGCCACTTATTTCTTGGTTGTTTGGAAGAATTGACTTAGTATATTAATCAACTAAGCACATAAAACTATGGAAACGATGTTGTGTACCAAGTGCAGATTACCACTTAGTGCCATCTGCCCACTAGTTCTCTCTCGTATTGTTCCTCCGAGTAATCGGCCCATTCCCTCCGACGCGGACATGGCTCATCAGTAATCTTTCGTGCAGTGAAAGAGACTCCACTTCCAACGTCGGAAAGATCTGCCCTACCCACAAATTCAGCGAGGTGCTTATCTTTGAATTTGATAATGCCAGCAGCCGGGTCAGGGTCAATCACGCCCTCGCCTTGTTCACGGTGTCTTGATCTCAGCTGATACGTCTGGGGTGTCCCTGCCTGGGCCTTCTTTGGCCGTCCGCGATCCTTGTTAGGAGAGAGTGCTTTTCTCTTGGTCCCTATCTGTGGTGTTCCACCGTCCTCTTCCTCTGAATCGCCTTCGGCTTCGCGGTCCGCCTGAGCACCGTACTGCTTCAGTGCTGCGATATCAGTCCCGATAAGCATAACGCCCTCAATAACCCCGAAATCAAAACAAGCCTGGAAATTTCCAGGCTCGTCGGTGGCATGTATGTCTAAATTTAGCTCATCTGCTAAATCCGGCCAGTTTTTTTCGACGTCTTCGCAATCGACAATGTAAACCCCCAATGGGAGACGGGTTCGTTTTCTTCTTCTTTAAGGATTTGAGGTACTCGTTGTGCTTCTCTGTTTTCTCAGCGGCTAGTTTGTCCTCTTCTTCCTTAAGTTTTTTCTTTGGTGCCTCAAATTCCTTCTTTCCCTTAGCAGCATGACCGCTAGCCGCTTTCTTCACTGCAGCACTGTCCCAGCCCATGAAAACAGTTTGTATTATACAGCCCCGAGCCGTTTCTTGATGTAGACCGGAAACCTTTTCGCGGCTTCTTGCATCTGTCCAATTCGATATGCACTGTGTAGATGATACGGCATGGCAATGACGGTGATTGTTTTCGTGCGGTCTGGTTGTCTGTCGCCCGCTCGCAAGAAGTATGCATCCATTACCCAGTCCACATAATCAGCAATATACTCCCTGTCCTGCGTCTCGATCCACTCGCGGTGCATCTGCTCTTGCAGCGATAGAATATGCACGGGAACGGTGTCACATTTCCCCGCCTCCAGGCACCGTTTCAACAGCATCATTCCGTTACCAGAGAACTGGCTTTCATCAAAGGACACCCCATAATGCTGTAATTGGTCGCGAACAAAGTTTCGACAATCTCTCAGCTGCTCATTTCCTTCAGGTGTGATCTTGGGTAGGAACATTCGCCGCAGAGAGGCGCCGTCGACTCGCTCGACCCGACCGTTGTCTGTGAAGAACCTGCCGTAGCTGGACTGAAAGCCATCGCGAGTAATAGTAGTATCTCGATAACAAGGCATGAGAGCGAGGAAGAATCGTGCGGCGTTGTTAGGGTAAAGTGAGTTGGTCTTTGCCAGGTTGAACTATGATGCCGACAACATCATACCGAGCCCGTAACAAGGTGCTTAGTCACATATCGCGTAGGGTTAAGTTATCTTGGAGTTTTTACCTATTTAATGAGAACTCTTCATCAACAACCATCCATTACCAAGCAAGCATTCGTTAACTAGTGAAAGCGTTTAATGATCATATTCTATTAAGAATCATCTACGAAGTCTTCCTTTTCTATTCCTACAAAAAAAAATACTGCATGATTCCCAATTTTTTGACGTTACTTAGTAGGTAGACCGTTGGACTGGTAATTGAAGTCCCGTCTATCGTACTGGCAGTACCTGGAAAATGTTGTCACGGACCATCGCCTCCATTCCTCTCTAGCCTAGCTGGAGTTGATTTAGCGCCTTCGCCTGAATTACGGAGTAACTTCCATTCGCAATTATATCTCCGATACTAATAGCAGCGGGCAGTCGGATCCATTCAAGTCCAGACAGTCCTTCGCCCGAGTAAGAAGTTAGTGGTGCTCTCATGCTCCGTCTAAGCCCTAGCCCGGGGCCGTGGCTTGGGCACGCACTGCCACTGGCCCCCCGCGTGGCCTTTCCGAGGGCAATGCTCATGCCATATGGATGATTGCCCGGCCCGGAGTACATGTATACCTTGCATATTGGACTGAGTCAAGCTCCACAAGGCTAAATACCTCATGCCTCACGCCTCACTTCGTAGTCCTGGTATGTGCGTATGCAGATGACCCTCAGTGCCCGGTCCGCGCCTTGGGCTGACGCACTGCCTACTCGAAGCCCTAAGGACCTAAGACTCCTGGTTGATTGTTCGGCTTGATACAACGACTAAATGAGATATTGGATTGAAAATCACGTGTAATTAATTACTAAAAACTAAGTATGTGTATATCCCGTGTATGCCGAAAGCCACTTGCTGTACAATCCCATTACTCAGTATTTGGGAACGAAAACTGCAGATAAATGCTGCTCAACCCAGCCTTGAAAAAGACCTCGCGCAACAGATGAAGTTGTTCTCTTCTTTCTTTCTTTTCTTTCTGTTTTTCTTTTTCTTCCGTGTCGCGGTCTGTCCTGCTGTCAAGGCGGGTGAATCGCCTACGTCCCAGAATGGGAAGGGGGAAACGAAGGGAAAAGGTAGGAAAAAAAGAAAAAAGACCTGGATCTTTTCCAACTCCACGCTCGCATGTATGCTAAACCGTGATAAATGACCGATAAGAAAAGGCAAGGGAAAGGGGGGAAAGGAGAGACCAAGCCCAGCATCAGGGTGAAATGTCGAGTTGGCTTCTGAGTGTATGGGCGGTTCGCCTCGAATCGAGGAAACATGGCGAGGACCAGACTCATGTCTTAAATAGACAAGTTTCTGGCGATGCCGAGGCTGCAGCTCACCTTGGTGGATATTGAGGAACTTCCTCAATTAGGTAAATCGTTTGCTGGGCCAAAATCTGTTGTTGTTACAGCGCTAAGACCCGAGTAGGATCTTGGAGAAAGCGTCTACGATATGCTGCAATCTCTGTGGCCACAGTATTCATGTCCTTCACCTTGTCGCGCCGCATGTCGTTGATAGTTTCTTTTAATCCAGCAACATAACTATCACACTCTTCCGGTGTTTTGCCCTCCCGTAGAGAGCCCATTTGGACGAGAATTTTGTCATCTGCCGAGGTTAATGGTTCTGTGCGTCAGCATCCGCGCGGGCAAGAAAAGAATATTTTCACGGTCAAATGGTAAACAAGTTCAGTAGCACATGAAACGAGAAGAAGACACTGTAGCGGGGCCAAGGGGAGCACGGGCAGTGAAGAATGAGATGTGAAATTTATGTCCAGCTAGACGGGGGATGTTGTGCAAATTATTGTTCAAGCGTCGACGCACCGCTGAGAGCCATGTCCCGGAAATGTTGGTATTCACAGGAACGGTCATTGCAGACACCGCCTGAAGTCTCAAAGGGACAAAAATGTTTCAAGGGGTCAATATTATGGCTATAGGTTAGGGAGCGATAGCCGCCGGACACCTTGTCGTTGTAATCTGAATGGTATCGATAGGCCTTGAACAGCCTGAGGGGACTAGTATAAGGTGAGAATTTACGTTGTGAGTCTTCAGGGCGTCGCGTGTTCTGTGCGACACGTTAGCGCCGAAATCTCGAATAGGAACTGAGGTTTATCGCACATCCAGAAGGCCAATCTGGGGATATTGACTTGGTTGCTGAAAATCCAGTTCCTGGACTTTTTCAGTTAGCGGCTCACCAGCGACTTGAGATTGTTCTTCTGAGGACCCCGAAATTTCCATATTTGTGGCAGGGCTGGGGAAGTCAGGACTAGGAGCAGGGGAGTAACTGGTATCCGAAGCACTACCAGATTCTTCGGGTTCTGGCGGCTCATATGCTTCCGAGGCGGGAGATTCTCGTGAATCGAGGTTTTCCGACTTTGCAACAACAGCGCTAGACAACATGTCGGTTTGGGTAGGGGTATTGGGGGCTTTATCTGTGAACAGCGTATCCTCTGGCTGTGGTCTTTCCGGTCCATTCGGAATGCCTCGGGGAGCTGGTACTATTTCTTCCATGGGCGCAGTTGAATTAATGTTAGGATCCGGTGCGTCATGCATCTCCTCATTCAACGAATCGGAGTCGCTGGTTGAATCGTCTGTAGACTCATCCATTGAAGAGCTGGAGTCTTCCGACATCGACGTATCTGATGGCTCTGCTGCGGGCGCTTCCGGAACGGGTATATCAACATCAGGAACATTCGGAACATGATCAGCGGCCGGGGAGTCCGAAGTTGGAGGAGTGGCGTTTTGCGTCAAAGCAGTATCTTCTTGAGCCTGCTCATCTGCTTCGGACACTTCCGGGACTGCTGAGGTGTCTTCTTCTAAGATCTTGTTCTCATAGCCCTGGGCTATAGCGTAGTGCTTGTAAGTTGTTGTGTCTGGGCGTTGAGATCCTGGGATCGATAATCTTCGAAGCATACCTTGAACAACGTCGACGGGCATTTTCTCCTTTGCTTCCATGTCAATCAATGCGACATTTACACGATCAAGCGACAACCCAGAAACCTCTAGCTTCAGGGTGTTGAGCTCTTGTAGAAGTTGTTGTCGGCCTTCTTTGCCCTTTGCTAGCTCCGACGATAGCCTCTCTTCTTCGCACCTCGTGTCAGCAAGTCTCATTTCGGATTTGTGGATTTCCGCGTCCAGAGAAGGGACACCAGCTTCGATCTCCTGAATTCGTAATATTTTGGACTTCATTTTCCTTAGCCCATCAGCATCCATTGGCCCTAGAATTTCGTCCACATCCTTGTCACCGATATTGGACAGGGATGGAATAGAGATTTCGGGAATATTAACGAGTTCGGGAGGGGATAGGTCTGAAGCACGAGGGGACTGAGTACGGCTTGCTAACTTTGCCTTTTTACGTTGCTCGAGTTCAGCAATTCTTCGGTGCATAGCCCGAATCTCGAGATCCTTTTTCCTCAAGTCTTCCTGTTCGCTGTTTTTAGGGTTATTCGGGGTTGTAGACGTAGAAAGACCCAGGCTCTGGGAAGTCGCCGGCCGACGGGGAAGGCCATCAGCCGGGTGCGGGTCTACTGGGACTAATCCTCCTGCAGTCAAAACGCCAGAAGGATCCGCACAGGTTGTTTCAGCGTGCAAGCTTGCATCGTCCTCATCTCCATGGAATTCATCGTCACTTATATCGATAACAAGTCTCTCAGGTTGGTCATGGCTGGTGCCGTTGCTGAAGGCTCTTTTAGGTAGGGGGATTGGTTCGTCAAAATCCGAGGCACGAGGACGTTTGCGTTGGCTAGAGCGAGGGTGAGGCACCGATTCGGGTATTGGGTCTTGAATAGGGGTAACATGTGCGCCGTTTATCGCTTCCGGCACCTTCTCTGCCATAAACAGGCCAGGAATTTGATCAAGAGAAGCAGACTCAGGAACGGGTGGGCGTTCTGGTAACGGGTGTTGAACAGTCGAGGACGCCTGGGCTTGTGGTGCCTCCTGGACAAAATTATGCAGTTCTTTTTCTGGAGTAAGGCTATCAAATGATGGCTTTTGCAGATTCCTCATGAGTCCTTGCTTCTTCAGTTGTTCAATGCGTTGCCTCGCAAGCTCAGTTTGCGCCTTGTTCTTTTCCTTGACGCGTATTTCTTTTTCATTCACGGACGTATCTCGTGAAGGTGTAGTTGTTGTAGATTTATCAAGTGCAGAAGGCAGGGTTTGGGGCGATGAAACCGTAATTTCAGCATCCGGTTGAGTTGGTGCAGGGACTGATGAGCTCTTAGCGGCTTTGGCAGCGAGCATTCGCGCGATCATGTCTTTCCGTTCCATAGGTTTGGCTGTATTGGGCTGATTAGATTGAAGTGTGGGTCTGGCCTCAATGGATGTAAGCTTTGGCGTAGCATCATGTTGAGCTTCGAGCTGTTGTGTAGCTTGATTTTCTTTCTCGTTCATGACTGACGTGCTAGCCCCTGGTTGAAGATCGTCACTGGAGCCAGCCATGGGGTCAAGATTCGCAAGGGGTGTGGTTGGAACTTTGATGCCAACTTCTTCATACAGCTGTTTAAGTATCGTGGGATTGATGCCTTCTCCAACAAGCTCACTATAACGAATACTGTGTGGTGCCAAGCTAAGCAGAGCGCCTTGCGCTTGTACCCGAAGCTGGGCAAGTGAAACGCCATAACTAGAGGACGAATGTTGGTCGACGGAGGAGGGAAGGAGTGAGTCTAAAGCGACCATGCCTTCACTAGTGATCTTCGCGGGTTCAAGTAACGACTTTGGCATGGGAGGTGACATGGCCTCTGTTGGCATGGGGGGGTTGTAAGCTTGAGAAATGTTAGCATCCTGTGTGTAAATATAACAAGGGTAAGTTTGTCTATACGGGATCCGCTATCTCTACTAGATGCGCGAGGCTCGGGTGATGCCTCGCCTTCCTCAATTTCAGATAGCGACTGGTGGCGAGTCTCCGCGGCTATGGCAGAACAGTCGTCATGGTTGGGGTGGAGCCCGTTCGTATTTACCAACTGAGTTTTTTCTGCCTGCAACCCGTGATCTCTTCCATTACCTGCCCCGTGGTATTGCCAGTTTCCACCAGTTTTCCCCTTGGGGTGTCGAGAGCCACGGTTCTCTATTCCCGTAGTACCCTCAAAATCAGTTAATTCACCTTCCTCTCGCTCCAAATCCTGCCTTGAGCTTGTAACCACCATCGGCTGCGAATCTGTCACATTCGACTGTGAAGGATGTACGATGTTGTTCGTTGATGGCTGTGGTTGAGGCTGAGGCAGATAGGAATGCGTAAGTAATTGCTCGGACATCAAAGGATATCCCATATGTGGCATCGATATGTGAGAAGGGGCCGGCGCGGGGGGGAAGGATCCTGGGAAAGCAAACGGGGGAGGCGGGAAGGAGCCTGTCGCAGCCGCGCCTCCCAAACCTGGAAGGTTCGCATTTCCGTAAAAACTTTCGAGGTTGTGGTATTGTTTTGGAGCCGAAGAAGGGTCGGGGTTGAAAGGTTGAGGTTGAGGTATCGGGCCCGATGAAGGCGGTTGAGGTGTCATCCATGGCTGTGTATAGTTGGGAGGACCCCAGTACGGGGGAGCTGAACGGATCGGGTGATTCGACATCGCTAATGGTTGCGCGTGTTGGAGTTTCGATACGGGTCTTATTTGCGCTCGATGTGGTATCTTTTTACTGAATCGGCCAAACGTCGAGCGTCTTTAGACATAGCACATTACTCTCAAAAAATGTTCTGGGACACGGCGCGTCACCGACAAACCAGGGCATCTAAAGATCCTGCAGCCACTACTTGCATTCCAACTAGCCGGGTAGAAATTAAAGGAGGCTCGGTCGTCAATATAGACATAAAACTGAAGTGAATACAAAGAATGGTTAAACGAGCGCAGATGCCAGGGGTGAGGAGATGACGGAGAGGGCCGGACGCAGCATAAACTGAAAGATTCAAAAAAGCGCAAGTTTCGTGCCGCGGATCAGCACGTGACATGTTAATCTCCGATCGGGACTAGTGTGATCGTCGAGCTATTGGTGCCTGAGGAACCAAACCCCATGACGGATGTAAACAAACAACCCGGCCAACGGTGGGGGAGGCCACTGCTTGATGAACCAGGTTGCTAGGATCAAGCGATGATCGACTTGACGCCTTGATGCGTGAGTAACTTAGTGCACCTGCGTCAGTTCCCGGCCTTGAACCCCATCTTTTGTCAACATTCTGACATCCTGCATTTTGTGCATTTCGTGATTTGGATGCTGCGCTGAGCGACTCCATCGCTCTTTCAGCTGAGCTTTCACTTCACCCTTCTTCGCTGTCTTCTTTTCGATCTTTCTTTTAAAAAAATCCGGACAATGATCTATCCACAATACGCACCGCAATAATGCTCCCCTCTCAGATTAATGGCTCGCCGAAGCGTGCCAATCCCTTCGGTCGTGCATCTCCCTCGCCGTCGCCATCCTCAAGTCCACAGACCAAGGCGCGTCCAAAGTCAGCCGTCCTCGCCTCTGCGGGGAAATTTGAAGAACCTAAAGGTCATGCTCGAAACTCGTCCTCTATCTCCCACTCCTCTCTCGCGCCTTTCGCCCGGAATGCGAACAGGGAAAGGTCGAACTCTCTGAGAAATGACGTGGCGTCTGGTACATTTGCACCGGAATTCATCAAAACGGAGGATGTACGTCGAGGTGCGGACCAAATTCGAGGACAAGAAGGTGACAATGACTTCTCGGGGAATAAATACGTCTGGTTACGTGATCCCGAAAAGGCCTTCGTCAAAGGGCTTGTACTAGAGGAGCAGAATGGGGGCCGGTTGCTAGTACAAACAGACGATGGACAGGTATGTCAGTCCACCCCTGTGGCTATATATATGCTTATATTTCTTAAAAGCAACGGGAGGTGGACATTGACCATGTTGACCGGGTCAATCCTGCGAAGTTTGATAAAGCGGATGATATGGCTGAGCTTACACACCTGAACGAAGCCTCGGTAGTACATAATCTGCACACCCGATACCAGGCAGATCTAATATATGTAAGAATCTATGCCTCTATTTGCATATGTGCTGATCCCTGGCTAACAATTCCGTCAATAGACCTACTCGGGACTATTCTTAGTTACGATTAATCCTTACTGCCCGCTGCCTATATACTCCAATGAGTACGTCAAGATGTATAAGGGACAAAGCCGAGAAGAAACTCGGCCGCACATTTTTGCCATGGCCGATGAAGCATTTCGGAATTTAGTAGAGGAGGGTGAAAACCAGAGTATTCTAGTGACGTAAGTGCTTTGCGAGACTGGCGTATTTCTCAAGTATTCTGACGTCGCATAGGGGAGAATCTGGAGCAGGCAAAACTGAAAATACGAAGAAGGTTATCCAATACCTCGCTGCTGTTGCAACTTCAGATAATATGCACTCCCGCTCTGGCGCCAAGCAGATGAACACTCTTTCGCAGCAGATTTTGAGAGCCAATCCGATTCTCGAAGCCTTTGGTAATTCCCAGACGGTGAGAAACAATAACTCGTCACGTTTTGGAAAGTTCATCCGAATCGAGTTCTCTCGGTCTGGCCAAATATCTGGTGCTTCTATCGACTGGTATCTCCTCGAGAAATCCCGTGTGGTGAAACCCAATTTGCAAGAAAGAAATTACCACATTTTTTACCAACTGCTCAAGGGTGCCGATTCTAAATTGAGGCAGAATTTACTCCTCTCAAACCTAGGGATTGAGGACTTTGCGTACACCAGAGATGGAAACGACACAATTGCTGGCGTATCAGATGAATCGGAATGGACTTCTTTGCTGGAGGCTTTTCATATCATGAATTTTTCGGCAGAAGATCAGATGTGTATTCTTCGCACAGTCGCAGCTGTTCTCCACCTAGGAAATATCAGTATCATGAAGGAAAGTCTACGGGCTGATCAAGCTGCCCTTGGCCGCGACACTCTTGGTAGTGTCGAAAAGGCGTGTCAACTTCTGGGAATCGAGACTGAGCCTTTTGTCAAAGGACTATTACATCCAAAGGTGAAAGCCGGTCGCGAATGGGTAGAAAAGGTCCAAACTCCAGAGCAAGTTCGGCTAGCATTGGATGCCCTAGCAAAGGGAATCTACGAGAGAGGGTTTGGCGACCTGGTTAACCGCATCAATGGCCGGCTCGATAGAAATACCGTAACCGGTGAAGACAACTACTTCATCGGAGTACTCGATATTGCCGGTTTCGAAATCTTTCAGACCAACAGCTTCGAGCAGCTATGCATCAACTATACCAATGAAAAGCTCCAGCAATTTTTCAATCACCATATGTTCGTTTTAGAGCAGGAAGAATATGCACGGGAGCAAATCGAGTGGCAATTCATCGACTTTGGTAAAGACTTGCAGCCAACAATCGATCTCATCGAAGTTACAAATCCTATTGGTGTCTTCTCATGCTTGGATGAGGACTGTGTTATGCCCAAGGCTACAGACAAATCCTTCACTGAGAAGCTTCATTCACTGTGGGACAACAAGTCTGCAAAATATAGAGCTTCGCGCCTCCGTCAAGGCTTCGTTCTTACCCACTATGCAGCTGAGGTGGAGTATTCCACCGAAGGTTGGTTGGAAAAGAATAAAGACCCTTTGAATGACAATATAACGAGATTGCTCGCATCTTCGCAGGACAGCCATATTGCCGATCTCTTTTCGGACTGCGGCGGTGGGGATGAAGTCGACTATCCCAAAAGTCGGGTCAAGAAAGGCCTGTTCCGTACCGTCGCCCAAAGACATAAGGAACAGTTGTCGAGCTTGATGAACCAGCTCCATTCAACGCATCCCCATTTTGTTCGCTGCATAATCCCAAACCACAAAAAACGTCCAAAAATGTTGAATGCACCCCTAGTTCTTGACCAACTGCGTTGCAATGGTGTCCTCGAAGGTATCAGGATTGCACGTACCGGTTTCCCCAATCGACTATCATTCAATGAATTCCGCCAGCGTTACGAGGTCCTTTGTCGGGATATGCCCAAAGGTTACATGGATGGGCAGTCTGTTGCTCGAACAATGCTTCTGAAACTGGCCCTAGATAAAGCCTGGTTCCGAGTCGGCCGCACGAAAGTATTCTTCCGCGCTGGTGTCCTTGCGGAATTGGAAGAGAAACGTGACGAACTCATCCGTACAATCATGACACGATTCCAATCTGTGGCTAGAGGGTTTGTGCAACGCCGAATCTCGAACAAGAGGTTGTATCGTGCGGAAGCAACACGAATAGTCCAGCACAATTTCCGTGCCTACTTGGATATGAAGTCCAACCCTTGGTGGCGTTTATTCTCAAGAATGAAGCCTCTTCTCGGAGAAACACGCACTGCTCATGAAGTCAAGAGAAGGGACGATAGGATCAAGCAGCTAGAGACGAAGATGAAAACCGACCATACGGAACGTCAAAAGATTGAAGAGGAGAAGCGCAGGACAGAGATAGAGATGCAAAGGATCCAACAAACCCTCGAGAGTGAGAGAGGCTTGGCTCTCGACAAAGAAGAGATCTTCCGGAGGCTCCAAGTTCGCGAAGTCGAACTCAGCGAAAAGCTTGCAGGGGCCATTGCGGATCAAGAAAACCTCGAAGATCAGCTGGATGAATTGATATTGGCAAAGAAAAAGACCGATGAAGAGCTCGAGTTACGGAAAACACAACTGGAGCAGGCTGGCGAAATCATCCAGCGCCTCGAAGCTGAGAAGAACGAAATGCAGCAAAGCTTAGAGGATCTGGAGCATAGAATGGCTGACTCTCAAAGCAATTCGTCCAAGGCGGAAAGTCAGATCACAGAGCTTGGTCAAGAGGTCAAGATGCTACAAAGTCACCTCAGCTTGAAAGACCGCAAACTGCAGGATTTGGAGACGAAATTGCTGAAAACGGACCAGGATCTTGATGTCAAATTCGCAAAAACATCAAAAGAGCTGGATCGCTCGAAGACGGAAGTGAAGGAGCTTTTGGATGAAAACCGCTCTATTCGCCAGCAAATTTCCGACCTCTCGAACACGTCCACGAGTTATGAGGAAATGCTCCGGCGTAAGGAAAGCGAACTGTCCGTCCTCCGGAACGACGCCAAAAAACATGCTGAGGACAATAAGCAATTGGATATTGAGAAGTCTAGCCTTTCAACGCGCCACGACAACATGCAAAATAGACTCCGGGAGCTTCAAGCTCAGGCTGATGCCATGAAATCAGAGAAGGCTCAACTCGAACGCGAGGCTGCTGATGTCCGAAACCTTCTACAAGCAAAGATGTCTGAAGATGCAGAAGCCGGAGAGAGTCGGAAGCTACTTGAGCAGCAGACTCATGACCTAAAAAACCAGCTTTTTCAGGCACAGGCGGATCTCAGTCGAGAGAGACAGTCAAGAGATGACGTCCAAATGCTTGCGGACCACAACTTGGCGGAGCTAAAAGACAAGTATGAGACATTGAATGAAGCGAAGATCACCATTGAAAAAGAGATGTATATCCAACAAGACAGTCTTCGACGAGCTACAGAGGCTCGTGTCGCCGCCGAGCAATCGCGCAAAGAGCTCCAGACGGAACTGATCAAGCTTCGCGAGCGGTTCACCAGTGTTGAAGATGCTCGCCTGAGAGCTGAGGCTGAAATGGAACAGAGTC